CAATCCAGGCACTCTGAGGTTTCAACAACTTACACCTGTCATTTCTACAGTAAAACATCTCCTCAGGGATACATAACCCCCTCTTCCTTTCCTATTCATCAATTTCATAGACACAACCCTGGTCAAGACTGAAAGATGCCCTGAACAAATCTCTCAAATATCTTCTTATCTTTGTTTATACTTTTTCAAGATAGATAAAGGCCTTTCCCACAACCAGGGAAACTGCTGGTATACTTACTTAAGTCTTGTTACAGGAAATCACCCCAAGGACTACAGCCAAGGTGGAGTGTCACCTACCTGGTCTTCTTGGCAACCCCAACAGTGGTCAAAGTTGCTGGACTCCCATCCTGGTTTCATATCATTCAAGCTAAACAATGCCTTCCCAACCCTGAATCTATCCATCCTGAGTGGTCATCTCATATTCTGTTGCCCACTCATCTCTGTCTCACCAAGGCTTCACAGCCACAACTCTAAGGCTAAGTCATGTTTTGCTATCCAATTTGGTTCCTAACTCCTTACATTCTATTAATTATCTTTTTTACAGCAGGACTCTTAACAGTCTTTCCTAAAGACACCCACATTATGCGTAAGATCATCTTCATGTTGCTCTATGTAACAACTGTCTTAGTTCTTTCTACCCTCAGCTGTTTAGTCAAACATGAGATCCCTGAAGGCCTAGACTTTTATCTCCCTTATACTGACACAGCCATGACTCTCCCCACCACTTTTATTCTTTGCAGCTCAACTCCTGGACCAGAGACAAGCCCTGCCTACCTATACTTTTAACTGCTATCCTTTCAGATAGAGGAATAATCACCCCTCATAACTTCAGTCCTCCCAAGCCCACACTTATTTTTCAGAATTCTACCTCACCATGGTCCTGATGGAATGGCCTATTTAAATCAAAGACACCTTTCCTTCTACCTCCCCTAGGTCCTTAAATATGATAGTTTCCTGCCTCCTCATAGCACCTTGCCTCTTTTTCCAGTCTAAGATGCAGGCATTCACCAATGATAAAGTTGTCCTGGCTAAAACGTCTGGTACCAGCTTCTGGATGGGCATTAGCCATCAACCTGTCAACCTTCCTAAACTCCAATAGAGCACCTCGCTTTCAGCCGGAAGTAGTAAGAGAGAGACTTGGCCCTTTGCCTAACAATACAAAAGTGGAAATGAAAGACTCTTACCTCAGTAAAAATTATGGCAGTGGTCTAACGAGGCAGAAGGCCAAAGCGGGAACACCTGCCACTTCCTGTTTCTTCCCAGCTCCTGTTTGCACACCAAGAAAATTCCAATCAGCTGATCGTGCATCCACAATGCCCACCCTAAGCACCACCCCAGTTGGAAATTCTATGTGTATCCCATGCCGCACATTTCTGGCAGAGAAAGCCAGGCTCCGGTGGTCATGGAGTTCTCTCTGCATCCTTATAATAAGAACTATTTTTTACTTTATATTCTGTCTTTTATCACACCAAAAACTCTTTCAATCTTGTTTTGACTTTGTTTCCAAGAAAAACAGTAGAGAATTTGTTTGGAGCACATGTCTTGATGTCACAGTGCTTGAAGACAGATCTTACTACTTGTGTAACCTTGAGCAAGTAACTTAACTTAGTTTTGATTGCTTAATGTACATAAAATAAAGGTAGTAACACTTAATATCCCAATTTATAACAAAATATCCGACACAGTCATACAATATATAAAAAAAGCAAAACTTATGTTCAGTCATATTTTAATTACCTCTTTCTCATCACCAAAGAAAATTTTCATTTTTTAATGAAACTTTATTTAAATAAAAATATGTGATTTAGCCTAGCTCATACAGTGTAGGCATATGCCTGTATTACCAACACTCAGAAGCTGAGGCAAGAGGATCACAAGTTTAAACACAGCCTGGGCAACTTACAGACTTAGCAAGATTCTGTCACAAACTGGGGAAATAGTGTGAACAACTTGAGATCAGTCCCTCGTACTGCAAAAATAAGTCAATTCACAGTATATTTCATGTACTGGAGAGGCCAAAATCACTAGTTCAAAAGCTAAGTGATAAATTTTCAATTTTTGTATGCAAGTTACAAAAATGACACTGAATCATCAAATTAGAACTTATGAAGTAAAACTGACATTATCACTTAAGCTTGTGTTTGGTGTGTAAATAGTAAGAAACTTGAGACCTTCATTTTTTATGAAGGTCATTTATATATGATCTTAAAAAGAAAAAAATAGCAATGTATATATTCTCATCCCTTACTTATGCTTGAGACTTCATGCCACTGAGAAAAATCACGCAACAAGAAAATCTTGGAAATTTTTGTTTATGCTAGGCTGATAGAGGTAAGCCTGTGCCCTCACTGCTGTGTACATTTAGAAATTTTAGACAGAATATAATTTTAGATGTGTCAATTATACAGATGTGTTCACTAAGGAGACAACTTTATATATTAAAAAGAAGAAAACGAAAGCTAACTTGATAAGGACAAGAAGCAGAAGGCAGTGTGGGAGGAGGTCAGGAAAGAACAACCAGATCCTGGGAGGTCTTCAGGTTTTACCCCCAGCAGTTAGAGGACAGTTATAGTGTCCCTACACAAGACTTAGAAATGGGAAGGAAAGAAAACCACATTGTTTATGGCCTAGGAATGTAGCTCAGTATTCGTGTACTTGTCTAGCACGTGGGAGGTAAGAACCTAAGTTCAATTCCTGCACCTCTCCTCCCCATTAAAAAAAAAAAAAAAAAAAAAAGCAATGCTAGGATAGTGATGTGTAAATTAAAGTTGTCATCCTAATCAGATCTTAAAAAATGAATCTATGAATATGACCCTTTGAGATTCTGAAAAACATTCATTTGATCTAGAGAAAGGGGTCCAAACTTTAGCGGAAGCATCAAGGACAATAGCAGTGACCTTGTCAAATGAAGGCGGGACATGTAAAATCACTAAAACAGCAAGGACATTCACAACCTTAGCCAGGCAATTGAATGGTAATCAAGCCTCAGATGGTGAACAGATTGGCTAGCCACTTCAAAGAAAAATACAGTGGCCCCTGAGCAGAACAGAAACCGCAGAAGGTTCAGCTAGAGACAAGGAGACCTATGGGCCGTGTCCACAAATACAATGTCCATGATCAAAGAGATACAGCTCGGAAACTCTCACCCACGTAGTTGTATTATATTCCCACAGATATATCTGGAAGCCAAGAAGATGCTTTTAAAGCAAAGTAAAGGCTTTAGAATGAAAACAGATATAAACAACACTGCCAGGTAATTATTAACAAGGTAATTTAATTTTTTAAAAACTGCACATTGTGGAAAACTATCAAACCTTAAATAATATTGTGCAGATAGTTTTTAATTTTTGAAGAATGTCAGTGAAGTTTATTAGTTTTAGTCCTCTTTTATAAAACTAAATTCATTAAGACTTTGTCAAGGGCTAGGGATGCAGCATGGTGATGGAGTATTTGCCTAACATGCATAGGCTTTGCTCATTCCTTGCCACACAGAAAAAGAAGGGAGAGAAGAGAAGGAAGGAAGGAAGAAAGGAAGGAAAGAGGGAATGAAAGAAGGAATGAGGAAGGAATTAAGTCATGTACCATACAGGTGAGGTATAAATAATAAATATGAATATGTCTCTCATTACAAGCTTTATTTGTACAGTATTTTTCTCTACAAAACTCAGCATACATGAAGCTCTGTATCCCTTTTGGCATGATTCTTCAGATAAGCATATCAAAGGTACTGGGATTTTTACTTGAAAGCTTTGGAAAGAGAACCAGGAAGGTTTTTTCCAGATTACTATGCATGACACAAGTTACTGCAGGGCTGGCTTAGCAGTCCTGAGGAAGATTCCACGGTTTCTTCAGCGGAACATTGCCAAAGAGGTGACTAGGATACGAAGGCCGAGAGAGGCTGGAAGAACTGACTGGTTGGCCCTCGAAGTATGAAAAAGAAAAAGTGCTCCCTTTTCTGTAGTTTTTTCCACTTTAACCTGAAATCCAAACCTAAATTTAAATCACTCAGCTTTATTTAGCTGATATACTAACAATATAATTGCCTTAATTTAGACAGATGAATGGATGTAGTAAAATACTGGTCCTTTCATCCTGAGTCATTTTATTATTCATTTCTTCACTGTAATAATCTGAGCTTTTTATTTTTTATTATATTTTATATGCTTGCTATTATACTACACTTATGTACAACTAGTCTTATTAAATCTACACTATCTTAAGCATTCTTTTAGTATTTTATACAGAAAAGTTTGAGAAAATAGTTTTTCTATGGTTGACTATAAATATTTTGAGTAAGAACTGGTGCACATTAGTAAAAAGGAAATTGCATTTCTGATTTTTAAACTCAGACTATACATATCCTTATAATTTGTTTTTCTCAGTGAGAAAGGAAGTTACTATACAAATATCAAGTTTTAAGGATACATTTTTTTGGGATTTAACAGCCAACTCTAAGTTTACAAACATAGGCCAAAATATTTATGTTCATATTTTAATTTTATATAGATCAGTTTTCATGATTTATTGGTCTCCACATTCTTAGATTCCAACTGAGCACCACCAGTGAGGACACACAAATAGAGAGATAATTAAATAATTTCTTTGTCCTACAATCTCCTCAACTGGAGAGTAAGAAATTCCTATGTTACTGAATATTTCATGAGGCTTAAACTAGCTAATCCGTTTAAATGGTTGTAACAGTGCCTTGTGAACAACAAATACGTAAAAACCACGTGGTTATAAATGTGAATAAGGTGAGTTATGTGCTATTAATTATTAACAGAGAATATTTAAAACTTACTATTTATTTGAAAATGAGTTTATGGTTGACTCATTGAAGTCATATGAAAAGCAAATCCTCTATTACCCTTTGCTGTTTCACCATACTTACATGAATATGTGCTCAATCTAGAAAAGCAGCATTAATCAGAATTGCAATTAGATTGAAGACACTATAAAAACAGGAGTCTGTCTTTCTGGTTTCAAAGACATTTTGAGCTCAGTCTGTCCCAGCGTCACTCAAGTGTAACTGCAGCACCAATGAAGATACTTTATATGCTCTTGATGTTTGTCTTCAGTGTTTCTTGTGGCCCATCAGGTAATATTTGTAACATGAAAAAGAGGTAAATGAACAAAATTTTTAATATAAATTTGAGATTCCATATGTACTCCTTACAAGTCATTATTTTTTTTTAATGGAAGAAAAGTTAGAACAGATATTGAGACTATAATGGAAAAAATTTTAGACTTATTTTGTTGGTTTGTGTGACAAGGCTGTATCTCCTCAGGTGATTTCTGCTGTCTTGTCTCTCAAATTCATTTTCAAGAACTAATTTTGTAGTTTTTGACATAATTAAGGGTTTTACAATTAGTCCAGCAACTAGTAGCAGAAGGGAGGAATTGGAGGTACATGGCTTTTTAGAAATAAGGAGACTATTTCTTCCATGTCTTTTAAAGGGTAATACACAGATTAAACAATTAAGAATATTTTACTTACAAAAAATTTTAGTGCCAAAGGAAATACTGTTGCATAAATAAATATTTATATTGTACCAATATTGAGAGGCAAAGATCTTCAATACAGTTTCCTAGGAATGAATTAAGAAACAAAGCTTTTAAACTCTATGCTCTAAAGAACTGTATCTATTTGGATTCAATTTGGAGTTCTAATCATGGGTACCTTTTTTTAGTTCCACAGAAAAATACAAGAGAAATTGCAGGAAGAAAACGAGAATGTTACCTTGTTCGTGGTTCTTGCAAGTCTGAATGCAATACTTGGGAATATGTCTATAGTTACTGTGATACTGAGCCCTGCTGTGTGGTACGGGAATACCAAAAACCCATCATTGAAACCACGCTTTCTAAGACTTACACAGCTTAAATTACAGTACTTACAACATTGCATCATTATAATCTTAATAAAAATCGGTTTTTACTATTAGTCTGTTTTCAGACTTTGTCTCCTGACTTTTCTGGCTTATACAACTGTATCAGGACTACTGCATTCAAAGTTGGTATAATACAAGAGAAACCTACGAGTGGTAGCATCCTTGTTATTAAATTGAATAGCTCCTTCTGTCTTCAGTGCTTTCCTTCATTTCCACCCATCTCACAACTAACCATGGTATTTGCTGCTGTTCCACAGTTTCAGTGTAAAACTGTTTAAATCTGAGACACAAAGTTGTATACATCATAAACACATAATACACAAGTGCTGATAGAATAATTTTAAGAAAAACTGAACAAAACTTAAAAAGAACATGATGGACTTCATGAAGGTCTTAGCTATAAAGTATACAAGAAAATTGTAAGACAAACTGAACTCTACAAGTGTTTATTTTGGAGACATAGATTCATTCATTAGAAAGAGTAAGAGGATGGTGTAAGCACCTGACTGCCAAGCGTGAAGTCATGAGTTCAATCCCCAGTACCAAAAAACAAACAAAACAAAAATAAAAGAGGAATGAACTTGAACATAAATACTTAAGACATGTTAACTTAAATACTCTGCTACATACATGCATGTATTACTCTAATAAAAAGTTTTTAAGTGAGCAGAAACTAATTGAACTTTCTTAAGAGATCTTTGGATGTTTGCTTCTAAAAAAGAATTAACAAAAAGTAGTGGCAAAAATCAAGTTGATTGTTTATAAGTGAATTATTTAGGGAAATTAATGATCTCATAACAATATAATTAACAATAGTGTGCACATGGACATACTGATGAATATACACATCTTATTAGTGACTGCAATTTATTTGGACAAGTAATTAGTCTTTGTCAAACAGCATTCAGTTGTTTTATCTCTGAAACAAAAATATTTTTCTTAAATCTACTCCATGTCTGAGTTGCAATTGTAATTGTTGGAAACATTGTGAAGTCATGATTTTTCATGAAATTTCTTAATAAAAATAAAGATCAAGAAAGAAAATAATCTGCTCCGTACCCTTTGCATTCATGCTTAAATGATCTCCACTGGTATGAAGATACCATGTTTATAAGCATCCTCCACATAGAGATTGCTCCTTACAGTTCAATTATTTTCAAGGGTTTTCAATTTGGGTAGTTCTTCCCAAAGTCCTAGTCAGCAGAGCAGAAACAAGTATACTACATATTTCTTGTCTTTTTAAGAAGTGTTCTATTCTGTGGACTCTATTAGCAAACTTTTGTTCACCTTCCTTTGCAGCTTCTTCCAACTCTCTTCTCCATTTTAAGTATTATGTGTCCTTCATGATGCCAGATAAAACAAATGTTTCTGGAATAATTGTAACAAATAGTCTCTCACTAAAAACAGAGTTGCTACATTATTAATTAGAAAATATGGGTATTTGACAGTTCTGTCAATTAAAGAAGTGTCTTGATTATATTTAATTTTGATTTTTTTCATTTAAAAATGACTGCATACTAATATATTTGACCTAATACATTTTTAAAATTAATGCTCAGATAAAATTAGGTAATGAGGATTAGATCCTATTAATTTTTTTGCATCATGATTTTCCTTTTTAAAAATCTAAATTATTAATAAAAATATAATTTATTAAATCATCAGTAAGACTAACAAGTAATTAAGCCCTAGAAAAAGATGGACAACAAATGCATGTAATTCTTGAGATAGCAGTAGCAGAATCAATAAAAGGATACAAGATATACTCAGATATATAAATATACTAGATAGTAAGATATAGTAAGAACACAAAGGCTAGTAAAAAAAAAACCAAAAACTCTTTTAAACATTCTTGTAAATTAGTTCATTGATAGAGGAAAGACTTCATGAATGAATTAAAAAATATTAAAAATGTGTATGGCTGGAGGTATAGCTCAGTAGTTAAGCACTTGCCTAGCAAGCACGGGACTGCAGATGCAATCTTGGAACCACCAAAAAAAGTATATACCACAACTTAGACTTTAGTGGTTTTTATATTACTGAGAAAGGGAGCCACTGAGGCAATCTGGGCTTTCAGAAAAGATGCTTGTAAGATTATATTCATTCATGTCTAAATTTGACCATGGAGAATTTGACAATTCAACAAATACAATACATATAAGAAATATAACTGGATTCAAACTTACATCTAAATTTTAGTATTAGATCACTACTTAACACTGTGAACCTTGCTACTGAAAGAATTTAACCAGTTTACTAACATCTTAAGAGAAAATAAAATATGAGTGAAAACACTAATAAACACAATTTTGAAAAATTAGAAATCTAGTAAATAATTTTATTCCTATTAACTGCATGTATTCAAAAGACTCTAGTTAGGGTTGAGTGAAATAATGTAGTGGAAAGCAGCCAAAAAACAAAATTGTCTACCATATTAGGAACTATTATTTTTACTATCCTTATTGCTGTTAATAGTCATTATTAATAAAAAGGGACTGAGGAAATGAAGACGGCAAATATGATGAGCAAATGCTTGTTGTGCAAGCATTATCAATCAGTGACTTTAACACTCAGTAGAGGAATCTGTTGGGTACATCATACACAATGAGGAGATAATCATAAGAGATTGTAGTACTCTAAAACTATGTGTAAGTTATTTGAATAAAGACAGATGAATCAATAAATTGGCCCTATTTAGAAAAAAATTACTTAAGTATAATTTAAATAGAAGCATGTTGGAATTATAGTAATGGTGGAAGTTTAAGAAAGTATTCATCGCATCCTCCCTCCTCCATCTTTCTGGGACACACAGCTGATGAGAGAAGTGTGAGTTCTGATTTCAGCTCCTCCCATTCTCCACTGACCCAGGATACCAGGGCTGGCAAAAGAAGTCTGAGATCTGCCCCCCTTTTCCTCAACTGGCAGGACTCAGGGCCCAGAGACCTTCACAAACACCAGTGACACCGTAGGACCCTTGCTAAGGTGCACGTGATGGATAGACGAAAACACAAGTGTAAAGTAGAGGAAGGGAGGAGCTTGCATACACATAAAATCCTCTTCCCAAGCTTTTGCATTTCCCATAATTAGCTGCTTCACAGTCATCCTCATCTTCTCTAGTTTTATTCCTTGATCATCACCCTGTTAAAGCCTTTGACTTTTCCATACCTTATATATTGTTTACTGTCCTCTCTATCAACAAGTTTTTCCCACCACATAACTTTCCCCAATCACAAATTAAATCCCATTTGTCCCATATCTCACCTTTGGCCCAACAAGATACCCTCTGAAAATTATCAGTGCTAACCCTTCAATTCAATTAAAGGTACTCCAATAAAGAAAACCCCACACTAACCTTTTCTTCTCATCTACTACTATTCCCCTTTCAACTTCTCCCTTAGTGTCTAATGCTTTCCATTCAACCACACCTCATTTCCCCAAACCCTCTCACCTACCTCGTTGCAGAACTACTGTCAATTATGCCATAGTATGTACAGAGAATACTATGGGGAAAGCACAACTGCAAAGGTTATTATATAGAACTATCATGAGATTGAATCTTTGGAGGCAGTTCCAAACAGAAGTAAGTTATTTAGCAAAAAATAGAGACAGCATCAAAATCACTTAAAGTAAGTAATGAAGGAGTAATTAATAGGACTGGACATGTGAAACTGAAAATTATTCATGGGGAAACAACATTCTACTTAAAATCTACATGTAAGTCATAATTCTCCTTTCTTTAGTCCTCAACCTGCAGTAACTACCTCTCCCAAAAAAGGAGAAAAATAGAAGGGACACATAATTTAATATATATATATATATATATATATATATATATATATACATACATATATATACACATACATATATACATATATACACAATATATACATATACGTATGAGATGTATATGCAAATAAACAAATATACAAGGTAAAAGAGGACCAAGGAAATGAAAGATCTCTGAATCCCTTCAACTGTCTCAAGGAACTGCAAGGGGTCACAGGAGAGAACAAATATCAGGTAGCAGAAATCTACGAAAAGTTCATATAAGAAGTGAAGAAAATAGATGAGTTCAAAGAGGTGATAAAGCAAAACCCCAGAAAATTCACTCAATATCCTAAGAGTGAATTTAGGTGGGTGAAAGATAACTGGATGAGCTAACCAAAACAATTCAAAATTTGAGTGACAGATTCAACATGGATATGAAACTTTCAAAAATATGTGACAGATATACCTGAAAAAAACTAAAAATTTCATACATTGCATAATGAATGTGAAGACAGAGAGTCTGATATTGAAAACAAAGTGAATTATGGTAAAGAACTCAAAAAAGCCAAAAAGAAAATAAGAGAAAAAGTAAAGATTATTCAGCAGATACTAGATGACAACAAGCCCCATCTAAGTTAATTAAGTTAGAAAAAAAACTAGAAGATAGCACAGATGGATTCATTATCATGCTTATAGAAATCATGGGAAAATTTTCCCAAGTATAAAAATTTAAAATACAAATAAATAAGAAATGTTTATACAGTTATTAAAAGGAGAAGCTACAAACACATTCTTGTTAAATTACCAGTTATCTAGAAAAAAGCAGAATACTCATCAAGAGCATCAAAAAATTTGAGATATTGTGCTCCCAAATTCATTCACAGAAGCCACTATCACCATATCCTCAAACCATATGAAGATCCAAGTGAAAGATAAAGCATAGCCAATCTCCTTAAAGAATATTGATGCAAAAATCTTCAACAAGGTTAGCAAATAAAATGCAACATACTCTAAAATACATTATAAATCATTATCAAGTAGGTTTTATCCAACAGACTAAAGCATGAGTCAACATATATAAGTAAATACATATAATACATCACATAAATATAAGCAAGGTAAAAAAAAACCCATAAGATTATATCAATAGATGTAGCAAAGCCTTTTAACCAAATTGAACACATCTTCATGATATAAACCTTGAAAAACTCATGGATAGAAGAAATGTATTTGAATATGATAAAAGCTACATGTAACAAACCAATAT